TAGTAAATGAAATTCAGACAGTAGCTTTGATATCATAGCAAGTACAAACTCGTTAAATTGTGTTTTATTTAGTTATAATGGAATATCTTCAAATCATACAGATTGAAATACTTTTTCATACACAGTTTTATAGATATTTTCTTGTCATTGTAGCTTGTAAGTTTAGTACTGGGGGTAGAACATAACACCTGTGAGGTGAAACTTTGAAAACCAAACCTAACTAGTACTAAACTTGTATACAGAGAAAAATTGCAAGATATTTAACAATAAGAAGTATATAATGGCATCTACCAGCTCATGTGTGTGTAAGGATCAGTTTTGCAGTTTCGAACATAGTCCTTTACTATTGGACTTGGGCTTTGTTTACATTTCAAACAGGGAGTAGTGGAAGGAGAGTTCCGAGTCGAACAGTAAGATGTATTAGCCATTGTCAGGGGAATGACAACAGGGGAAGCACAGCTATAGGAATTTGTCAAATGGCGGCCAAATAAATCCTGGGTACAGAAATTTTCACAGGTATTACAGTGTCAGGGTTTTATACACATGTGGGCTGAGGATTCTTCTACAGTAGGTGTCTGTGACTTGTTGGCAATAAATTCGACAATAAACAAACAGCACACAATCCAATTGTTTTAAAATTATATATATATTCAAAACAAGTCAAACGTGTGTACAAACATTCTTTACACTATAGGAAATCACAGTTTTATGTAAAACTCTAAATAATTCCCCCTTTTTTTTGTCAAAGTCCACTCAGGTTGATTCAAGTATTTTAGAATCCAATTGACCATACATTTTTTTTTATCTTCTTTTCTCATAATACTGTTACGACAGCGGGGGTGACGTGACGAGTATTCTAGAAGATTCGCGTTAAACGCTAGTGCGTTACGACAGCTGAAGTCAAGTGACCCTGGTAGCACGTGTTGAGAGCCTAGAAGTTTCTAGAACAGGCGGTATTATCGTATATAAGTGCGCTAGACAGAGAGAGAGAGACAGATGAAGCAGGAGAGAAGCAAAGG